TTTTTACCCAGAAGGCCATAGCTGTGAATTCGCTTCTGTTTGGCAAGCCCGCCAATACAGGTATATGCCTGCTAATACAATGGATCGGTTTCTGAGACCCCCCCCGATTCAAAGCCTTCAAGTTCAGTGCTTAAACCCAAAAGACGACGATATGATGATCAGTATTTGAGTTTAGGATTTACGTGGACAGGACCAGCTGATGAACCACGACCTTTATGTGTGGTTTGTCAAGATATTTTGGCTAATGACAGCATGAGACCCGCTAAACTTCGACTGTTTGACTAGGATGAACAGTTCTTGGATCTGTTCTATTCATATTGAACCATCATCCTAGTTTTAAAAACGTTATATTAAAATACTTGTTATTACTCTGTAAATAATTGCACTTTCATGCAAATGATGATAAAAGTGAGTTAACAGTCTGACATCTGTCTGTGTCTTTATATATACTGTATATATTGTTACGAGTAGTGTAGTGTAGGCTTGTGTGTGGTTTCTCTCTTGCGCTCTCGCGCTCTTTCTCTCGCTCTCTCTCTCTTTCTCACTCCAAGTATTCGCAGGTGCAGCGGATTACTTTGGGACGGACCATGATTGGCGGCGGCTATAAAAACCTGCAGAGAACATGGGTTCGATGGCTCCCCGCTCTCTCTCAATTTTCCCCGCTTGTACTCAGTGGAGAACGTGATTCCATGAGTGTTTGCTTGTATATTGAGATGCCGTTGTGTTAATTTTTAACCGGCGATTGAAGCCCGGTTTTCTGTCTCCCTGTCGGGCTTGGAGCATGTAGGGAGGTTTGGTGCCTTATTTGTTATTTTCGTTTTCTCCTGTGTTTGTTAGTAGTGAGGTAAGTTTTCTGTATTTTATTTTATTTGTTTTCTAGGGAAGTTTAATCTAATTTAGCTAGCTTGGTTTATTGTCATTTATTTTGGCTGAACCCCTCCTGATGTTATTTTTGCTCCTTATTTCTGTAAATAAATCATATTTTCTTGTTAATTCTTAGTGGTTGTGTTTTTGGTATATTTTGGGGAGAGAGAGCGCGGGGGCACCAGGGATTATATTTTTAATCCCTGTTATTTTGTTACGTTTTTGGTTACATCTCTTTTTGATTAAGGATTTTTAATTTAATTCGTAACAATATATATATATATATATATATATGTATGTGTGTGTGTGTGTGTGTGCGTGTTTGGGTGGAGGGGGGCGCCAATGGATAAGTTGTGTCAAAAGGGAGGCCCACTGTCTTAGACTTTGAAAACCCCTGACCTACATATTCCATTTCATTTGTTAAGCACAAAGATTTGCTTCAGAACTTTTTCTAGATTCAGCTCTAGTTTCCAGCAGACGAATAAATGAACAATAATAACCAAGTGTGGTTATATCCAAACACGTCCTGTTCTTTTGCCCCATATAGTCCAAAACCGACAGCTGGACAAATCTACACTTGTTTTTATTAACGCAAATATAAATCTATTTATCACTAACCACTAGTTTGGAAGATAGAATATACAAAATTTTCAGATCGCCATATCACGGCACTTTTATTATTATTAATAATAGTAATTATTATTAATAATAATAATATTAATTATTACTATAATTATTATATTATTATATTTAACCATATCTAAACATTTATTAACCTTTCGGCTGATTTTTTTACTTAATTAACAACCTATTGCATTTGCATAACGTTTGATTTTGGATAATAATTCAAACCAATGCAAATCACTGAGCCTTTACAGCTAAATAAATATGGTCCAAAACCGACAGCTGGACAAATCTACACTTGTTTTTATTAAAGCAAATATAAATCTGCATATAATAAATAACACTGCTAATAATAATAACAACATTATACAGATTGTCATAATTAAACTGAAAAAGCCCCACGAGATCTTTGTAGCATTTTAATCCTTTAATTGTAAGGATATTTGTGTGTTGCTGTACATCCTGCATGTCTTAAGCAATGTGTAAATGTTTGGACCTGCATAGGCGCATAACCAACGCGGTCTGCGCTGGACTTTAGAGCAGCTTTTAGTCGGTCAATGGCGCGGTCTATTTCGGTTGCTCGAAATACACGAGTCCACAAAGTGGTGCAAATGGATTTGCTATGTAAACAACGTGGCACAAACACGTGAAAATGACTGTTGCGCTGCTCTGAAAATAGCACTTTTTTATGCCAAGTGTACGAAAGGGCCCTTAGATGTTTCGTTTGATTACATTAAATAACAGAGGTTATGCACAGATCTACAATGAAGGCATTCAATGCTCTGCTAACTTTTTATTCTCATTTAAGACAAAATGTGTTGTGTTTAAAAGTAAACCCACCAAGAGCAGCATGTTCGTAACCACTTCATAACCACTTTCGCTCTGCGTCAAATCACGTGTACAGAATACGTTTGGGAAACAGCATCTATTTATCACTAACCACGAGTTTGGAAGACTGTGTAGTAGTGTTGGGCGATATACGAAATTTTCAGATCGCCATATCACCCCCCTG